ATAATATGGGTAAATGTAGTAACTACATTGTTTTTTCATGTGAAACCTCCATAAGAATGTATATCAATAATACCTCAATAAAAAATTAAATATATATATATTAGGAAACTTTAAAATTCTAAATCATCTAAGGTACTGGTGAAAAGAGACCATGTAGGCTTTATGTTTTTGCATATTGCCTCATATGTAGAGTGGGCACTCTAAAGCAGTAAAAGCTAGACTTTACATTACTGCACGGTTAATGAAATGACCAAAGTGAGTCAGTGCAACTATCCAGCTATGAGTTCTACAGGGGTCCCATTGTGAAAGTAAATCTATCCAGGATTTTCAAAGGGCAGCTTCCATTCAAACCTATATTCAAATAAGCCAATCACAAATGCACATACCTAAACTCACTTCATAAAAGGTTCATTTCTATTGGGTTTTATTGTATTTATTGATTCCTTTGCTCTGGGAATATTATGTCAGTAGAGTAATATAAAACTACTAAAATTACTTATGACTTGATTTATGCCCATTATACCAATATTTTATACCCACTTTATATAACTTTTTACAAATAACTTCATGACAATGTGACATCACAGAGACTTACATATCACATTCTTTTCTTTGTTTCAATAAGAAACTTGCAGTAAATTTAAGAATTTTGTTTTATAATTTTCAAATATAAAGTTTGTCTTCAACAAAACTGAAACCTATTACTATTTGATATAAAATGCAAGTATTTGCTTTAAGTAAATAGAATCTTTCATAATTTGAAATATACTTTCAGGTGATTCCAGGACTAAGAAGAATGGCAGTCATTTAATTCTGAATCTTCCCTCTCCCTCTACTTTTCCCCCCAAAAATCATAAAAATCAACAAGGAAGAAAAATAAACACCATACAGGACCTACACTTTCAACATTACTAGATGAAAAACCCATAACCTTCAAATTTCCTTTAAGTAGAGATAAAAAAAGAAAAGTTCCAATAGACTTGTATCTACAGCCTTCCAGCTGCTGCAAGCTTGTAAGAGCAGAATGTGATTAAGGGCCAGCTCAAAACTTGCCAGAAGCCTAGATGAAATCAACCCCAGAAAGCAAGTGCAACAAAAATGCCAAAGGCCCTAGCCATGGGGAGGATCTGAAAACGGAAGGAATCACAGTGGGCCCCTTGGAGAACCAAGGGGAGTATCTTTGGGGGAGCATCACAGAGAAGTGTGGCACTCCTTGGGGACAAGGCAGCAAAGAGAAAGAATGAAATAAGAGAGAAATTAAAAAACATATAGATATAAGAGAATAACAAGACATGGCATGCATTCTCCATCAAAATACCACTATCCATAGAACAAACAGCACAAAAGAGGGTAGAAGTGACAGGAAGATTTGCAAACTAGGAACCCTTTCCAAGTAAGAAACAGGAACACAAAAAAGCAGATCAAATCCGTAAAAAACAGCTATAGAAAGTAAGAAAAATGTAAATAAAAGCATTTTTGCTGATAAGAAACCAGTCATGATCCTGATGAAAACTGTGATACAACATTTCAAATTGAATTAAATATTGTCAAACAAGCATTTCAGAATATGAAAAACACTTGAATCAGAAATAAAAACATTAAAAACATAAATGGGCAAAAGACAAGATGAAAACGGGAGATGTCCAAACTCAGGAAAGTAGAACAACAACAAAAAATAAATAAATAATTAAAGCTAAGTTAAACAAAGGTATCCAAAGGAGAATACAGACTACTCAAACGAACACTAATAAAGGGCACTGAAGAAAAGCAGGGAAATAACCATGAATGACAACGAAATAAAGAAGTGAAAAAGGATCAGAGAAATATTGGTTGAAATGGGAAAAACAAGCAAAGAACATCAAATATATGTATATATAATGTCCCCGAAAAAGAAAAATCAAAACAATAGAGGAGGAAAAACCCTAATAGTTAATACTACAATCCACAGAGGGAACAAGCTGCAAAGGCAAGAGAATTAGCATTAGATTTTTTCAAAACAACATACAAAAGTAAAGCAACAGCGCAGCAGCATTTTCAAGAAACAAGGAAAGAGAGTGTGATCCATGGATATTGTATATACTCAAGCTGTCTTACAAGCATCAAGGCCATAGAAAAACAGTTTAACATCCCAGAACTCATGAGAAGTACAAATGGACCTTTCCTGAGTAATCTACTAAAGGATGAGATTTATTTAACCAAAAGATAACTAATGAAACTATGTATGACGGCTGAATAAGCATGCCATTTATTTCATTTCAGGGCAAAAGCTAAAACAAAGGTGACTCATGGGTTAGAATAGTAAAAATATGCTTTTAACCATTTTTCAAATAAAATGGCAACTCATTATAAGTTACTAGTAAAGTCCATACATAGGAAAAGAATGCAAAGCATTTCAAATGCTTTGTCTCTTTGTTATAATTTTCATTATGTTAATCATCTGTTAGCATCTACAATGGGAGGAAGCTGCTCATTGAAAAAAAACATGAAAAATTCATAACACAAAACAAGACAAAATCATTACACTCAATGTGGTTAGTCACGTGGTACTTAGGAGGATGGGAAAATAGAATTTTCATGGTGATGCTTTCAAGGCTGTCATCAAATAAATGAACTAAAGCAAAAGAAAGTATTTTTAAAGCTGAAGGAAAAGTTTATGATTCACATTTAAGGCAGGAGGTTATTAGACAGTTCAAAATACCAGATAAAAATACATATTATAAAAATACATGATTTCACATAAATTTACTTTCTCCTGGCATCTATTAAATTGACTATCCACATAAATACAGAAATAGAGATTAGAGACCATATACACTTCCAAAGATCACTGATGCCAAAATAATAAACAGCCAGAACAATAATAAACTTAACATTTGTTGTGGTACATACTACATGCTTATAAACTGAGCATAATCTCATTTAATCCTCTCAAAAAGCTGATGAAGATGGGTACTTTTATCATCCCCATATTAAAGATGAGGATATTGGGCAATGAGAGGTACCTACTTTACACAAAGTAACAACATGTAAGTTATGGAACCAGACCGAAATTCAGATCTGAAAGATTTCATGGTTCACTCTCCGGATGGCATTTTGCATGTATATTTATAATAAGATTCACTTAAATATAATAATTCACTCTACTTGTAATATATCATTTCTTTGCTTACTTTATTATAATGAGTTTTCCCTCCCTCCATTCATACAATGCTTTACTATTGAAAGAAGTAGTCCAGTCTTCTAGATAAAGTTCAAACTACTTTGAAAATCATAAAAAAATAAATGATCTCTTCAGCCATCTGGTAACCCTTACCACTCTAATCCTAAACCCGCTGGCCACTCCACCCTACAATTAAATCTTATGTTCCAGTTATACTGAAAAACTGGGCAGCTTCACGAGGCAGACTTGGCTGTTTCTTACTTCTAAGACTGTCCACATGGTGCTCTCTGGAGGGCAGCTCCTTCTCCCCCATCTGAAATTATTTTCTCCTTATATTAACCTTCAAGGAACACTTTAGGCATGGTGCCCTTGGGAAAGTTTTCTTAAGCACCCATCATCTATTTCTATCATAGAATGTATCATATTGTATTGCAATGGTCAATTACTATCTGTGCCCTTCAGTGTGCCAGCACTGTCCCTAGCAACCAGAATTTAAAAAATACTAACTGATGGGAGAAGGAAAATATGTGATGTGGTTACTTAAAAAGAGAACTCACAGAGTTGACTCCAACTATGTATATATCAGTAGTTATATTCTTTTAGTTAACTTTTAATATATTAATATAGAAAGTTTCATAATATTTATTAGAGAACTATATTAAAGGAATTTAATATTTTATTTTCCTCATTAAAAATGTAGTTTTTTATAATTCATAGAGAAATATACTGATTGGAAAAGGAGTAAGATAGTAAACTGGTGAGGTATCTTGACAAAGGCTTATCATTGCTTACCATGAAAAGTATCTAAGCTATATACCACTGGTCACCATCTCAACAGTTTATCTCTAGCATATCACTAAGAGACATAGTTTGTTATTTTTCCTTCTTGATGATACTGTCAAAATTTAGAATTTATGCCCTTACATTCTAGTTAGTAATTGTTCTTTTTATCCATGGATATAGCTATATGTTTCAAAAATCTATATCCTTTTTAACAACCTGTATCACCTTCTGAAAGTAGTAATGAGCTCCTATTCTAATTTAGAAAACACACTTATTTTATCTTATTTCTCTGAATTTGAGAGACAGCCCTCTCTGCCATTCTAAAAATTGAAAAATAAGCCCATGTTCATCCTACCCATAAAATCCACAGTACATACATAACAGTTTGAAAAATAGGTGGTGTTTTTCTGATTGGTATAGAAATTAAATGTTTTGCTTAAGATGAAGAATTACATTCAAATCTACCCAGCATTAAGTTAACCAAGCAAAAGATACTATTTAAGTAATGAAAAAAATAAAAGACAAACATAATGTTAAAAGATATGTGAATCAACAGAATTTTAAATTCTACTTCTTCAAAAAATCAAATAGCAGATAACAAATGATATAATAGAAAGGCAAGATACTAAGATAATACTTTATAAACCAGTCCTTTTCCCTAATAATTCAGACAAGATTAGCAAATACTGTAATATATCAAAGCAAACCATTATGAACCCTAATAATATGCTTCCTAAAGTATTGTTTAGAAACTCTAAAATAAAAATAAAACAGCACCTGAGTAATGGGAGAAAAAATAAAAATAACAGCAAAAAGACTGAACTGTCTCTAAAACTATAAAAAAGCAAAATGCAAGCAGAAGTTTTATAAGATGTCCTTATAATAAAAAACTTTATGAAGTATTAAATCAAAGTAATAAAACTTTTTAAAAAATCACCATTCTTTAAATGTATGAAATGTCTTTCTTCCAAAGATCTGATATCACAATATCACAGACTTGCACAAAACTGAATCACTAGCTGGTAATTTTTCATAATAAATTTGCAGTTATATTTACCTTCAGATCCCATGATGAAGTGATGGATATCAGGGCCTGTTGACATACGAGGTCCTTGACAGCTTTTTTCTATTATACCTCTAGGTGTCACCATTTTTATATGAACCACCTGTTTAATACAATACACAATGTAAATTCTAGGTATCTTCCAGTGAATGCTGTGTGTGTACACATCCATATATATGTATGTAAAACACTACTTTTAAAATGTCTGGTTAAGTGATAAAATGATGATGCCCTTCAAGTCTAGTATCTTTTAGTAAGATAAATTTTATGTAACTTTTAAAAAGGGTAAATCATCTTAACTGGTTATTGGTTTAGGTACATTCATCATCTTAAAAACAGGAAAACACATTTCTTTAAACCAAATTTAGTCTAAGGTTATCCATGTGGCAAAGAACTAAAAGATGGAAAAAATAACCATAGTTTTAATAGGTTCATTCTTTCACTTAACAATATTTATGAAGTACTATTGTTCATATCAAGCATTGCTCCAGATGCTTAGTATTTTAAGAAAAAAATTTATTCTTGCCTTGTCACCACATTCAAAGTATCTATTTTGCTCATTTAATAGAGAAGAGTAAAAATAATGAAGTATTAATTATGATCAGGTCAAAATTGGGATGAAGAGGACAATACAGTGAATAAATTAAAAAGGAAGAAAGAATACATATGTGATATATGTGTGAGTTACGTTTCACACAGATAAGATAGTAGTATAATAGGGGAGAGAGTCACTCAAAAATAGTTTCTGAGATATGAATCAGAAATGGTTAGGTAAAAATCTGCATTTTCAGTATGGTTTTTTGACAGACAAATAAAAACTCTATGTATTATTGAAGGAAATAAGCAGAGGACATCAATAAACAATTCACAAAATTTAAAAAAAACTGCCAAAGACTGCATTTTAAGAGTTCACATTCATTAGCAATTAAAAAACTAAAAAAATTAAAAGACAAAAATATACATAAGAAGTCCAGTAAATTAAAGATTCTCATAGTGATAGCGGGAATGACAATTGGCACAAAACTTTTATAGAGCAATTTGTCTGTGAGGATACAAAGACTTAAAAGTGTTTTATCCAACAGTTTAAGCTCAAGGAATGTGGCCCCAAAAATGATTAAAGACGTATGGTAAAGAAATAACTAAAGAGGATATTGTCCCCTTTGTTTTCTGTAATTTTGAAATCAAGAATAATTTACATGTTCATTAATAGGAAATTAATAGCTATGAATTATCAATAGGAGAATTATATGCACTCTGAATATGACGGTGCAAGTCTATGTTCATTTACATGTTACTATACTGATAACAGTTTCAAGAGCAGATGAAACATACTATGATCCTTTTTACTATTAAAAACCAGATATATACATGCAAATAAATACATTAAGATGTATGCTTATAGTTTATGGCCTTTAAGTATCCCCAAAAAAGGATTAAAATAAATCACATGCTTTAGTAGTACTAAATAGAATCTATAAAATATTTGCTTAACTCTGATAGTTTTTACTAACCTGACAGCAAAAAAAGCAAATTTTCTTCTGAAACTCAGTTTACTTTAATTGCAAAAAGATATATGTGATTTCTGAAATTTTCAATGATAAAAATAGGATAATGTAAACACTTTTAAAGTGTTCATAATATAGATACTTAAAAGTTTTAAGTTGTTGGGCATTAACTATAAAGAATCAATATATTTCATCAAAGATTTGATATTTCTATCAATGAAGATTGAAGACTTGAAAAGCAAAGCTAAATGGTTCTAGGAATAATATTAGGAACATACTTCAATAGTTTCATAAATTAAACTGACTAGCAAATTATTACCAATTGATAGCAAAAATTTTTTATAGTTAAATTGTTATCAAAATATTGATGATACTAGGGGAACTAACATTTACTAAGCACCTTCTATATACCAGGGACTTGGCTAAAGGTTTTCATTTTATACCCTTTACTCCTTAAATAATTCTACACAGCAGATACCATCTACTTTGCAGAGGAAGAAATGGAAGTTTAGAAAGGTGAACCAGTTCACAAGGTCACACAATTTATCACTGGAAAAGTTACAAATGAAACAAATGATACCTAATTCTTAGCCAGGATGCCCAGTTACACTATTACCATACTAACTCCCAGGGCAAAGGCACCAGATCTGCTAAAACAAAATGATGAGCACATAAAACATTACAGGTCATACTATCACTTATATTTCCAACTGGGCCTTTCAATTCTATATAGAAAACAATTGTTTCAAGAAAAATAAACATAAACTCTCCTAAGGCAAGAAAGTAGCAATGATGAGGTCACCTAAAAATAAATAGACTAAATTCTTGGTAAAGTTGGAGATTGAGGCTCCATAAAGCTTACAAAATAACAGTTATGTATTTTGTAAGTTAGATACTATGAAACATCTATAAAGCTTAAATTTCAGTCACTTGAAAAGGACCACCCTTAGACAATGACCACAGTTGTGTCTTTCAACTGCTTCTATTATATATATAGTCAATGTATAATCAAAAGGGGTATACTTTTGGGGGGAACCCTACATATCCAACTCAATTTTTAAAGGCTCTAATCAGTTAAAAATAATCTCTGTAGACTAATTATTATATAGTAGCTAAAAAACTTTACCAGGTCCTCAATATTGCCATAGATATTCTTCTTCATGCCTGATGCCCGAGTAGATACCCATCCTCCCACAGTGCTGAATTCCAGGGAATCTGGCTCATGACCTGTACAGTAACCACTTTCTTTAAGCTGAAAAACAAAAACATTAATATTTTTCTGGTGAAAATGGTCCCATTTCACACAGACTCAACACATTAACTCTTCCCACATTTATCCAAAAGATTTAAGTTTGTGCCTACTGGAAAACTTTGTAAAAACTGAAAAATATGGGCCAAAAGACAGCTGTATTTTCTACAGCTTCACTAGCCAATCTTACTCCTTACATCCCTTTATTTTAAAGCCCGCTACTCTCCCCACTTTTTTTTTTTCACAAAGAGCCAATTTAAATACTTACAGAGATCAGATTATGCTTAACTGCCAACTTCACCTAAACATTTGCAATAAAGTGCTAGTCTCTTGTTCTCCCTACCCTAAGATAATATGCAGCAGGCTGCAAAAAATCTGAGCAAATTGCCTGTACTTAATTCTCTCAAAGAATCATGAGTTTTAATGTACAGCCATCTGGCCAAGTTTTGTGAATGTAATACCATCATTTATTTGTGATGCAGATCATTCATTCCTGTACATTAAATAGTCACTTGTTTCTCATTTTTCTATATTAGCTTGGCTTTGCCATCTGCACAGTACCTGAGATTGAATGGATGCCCTTTACTCTACCAACACCAAAACCATTCCACTGAAATCATTTTAGAGACTCAGCTACCTCATGTCAGACAGTACAGACAACACCATCTGCATACCCACTGTCTACTGCACTCATGCCCATCAATCTGTGTTGACCATTTTGATAGTCATCCAGTTAAGCAACTGCTTCCATTTTTCAAGTAAGCCATGCAGAGACATAGAACATGTTGGCTATGTTTGTATCCATATATTTTAGTATGGTATAAAGTTGTGACCCAAAATTTGGGAGCCCATTAGGTCAAATATAGTTTGTTAGCTTTTGCACACAGGCAACACAAATGATTTTTCTAACTTTACTGCTAGGGAAACAAAATATAAAAAAGACGCCAATTGTTACATAATAGGATTTCTTCACTACATATTCAACATATTTATTTAATTTTAAGAGGTTAATAACCACTCACAAATAAGCAGCTTACATGAATGTTCAATAGGTTAAAATGAAGACTGTCTGACTTTTATATTTCTTCCCTACTCCTGAACAATCTACTCTCAAATGACCACTATTACTCAATTTTTCTGAAATTAGGGGAAGAAAAAGAAAACACATTCATGAAGCACTTAAGTGTGCTAGACACTGAAGAAGTAGTTTTCATATATTCTCATGACAAAATTTCCACATTACCTACACCAAAGCAAATCATTAAATGCACATTTACACTACTTCTATTAAGTACACCCAATATTAGATATTCCATTAATTTGCCTCCTAAGTCTGGTAGGCTATTTTCTTACCTTTTCCAATTATAGGTAGCTATTATAAGCCAGGAATTACATAATAACATAAAAAATGAGGACACAAATTTAGAAAAAAAAGATACTCTCTAAGTTCAGGGCACTCTACCTAGCACACCAATTGTTAAAATCTGACTAACTTCCTACTAGATTAAGTGATGTAAAGGTAACAGTTATGAATCTGAGTTTGAGACTTGTCTTTTATCCTTGCTAGAAAATTTGCATATTACACTATGCTAATATTAATAAGGAACAATTCTTAAAATACACAGTGCTTAATAAATTGTACTATCACCATATATCTTCAGCCACTTTCTCTTTTAAAAATCTTTCTTAATACTGTTAGCTGCTAAGAAAAACCTGCTTAAGTCTGCAGATTTACACATGCACTTAAACCAAATATTCTTTTTTAATAAAATAAAATAAACTCTCTTTCCATCTATTTGCCATGAAGCTCTATGGGGATAGGAACTTTATCTTACTTCTGTATTCCCAGTCAGTATTAAAACAACAAATATTTACTGACTGCTATGTGCTAACTTTCAGGCACAGCACTAAAAAAGCAAATCCTAAATTATAGAACTTGTGTTATACAGATAAAGAAGGGAACTGAAATTAAAAGAAATGTAATTAGATTAAGAGAACAATTAGAAATGTAATGGGAAAAAAAGGAGTAGAGCACAGACGTGCACCTCTACCCAAGTTGAAATAAAAGATACTAGCTTTATCCTCACACCTGAAAAGAATAAAAACAGAAATATGTAAGAAACAAAAGTTTTCAAGTAATAGACATAATCTAACAAAGGACATTCCCTATGAGAAGCAAACTAAGGAAGCGAACACAACTGCCCCAAGATTATTGCTCCAGGATGTGTGGTATAGGGAAAATCCAGGCAGAACTCAACAAATCCTGTGAGCTGAGGAGACTTGAGTCTAGAATTGTGGGAATCCAAGGCATCTAGAGTTCACAAGAGAAAGTTCCAAAGAGGAGAGAGCAGCACAGAGACTGGCAGAGTCCCCACCAAGGAGTCAACAGAGTAACTGAAAAGCACATGCAAGTGAGAAAAGTACCCAGGACCAGAGAAAAAAATAATCTAAAAGGTTTAGAGAACAGTACCAGCACTCACAGAGGGCCAGAAATAATACCTGTTCCCACCAACCTGACTAGAAAAACTTTTACTTAACAGAGCATGAGGTAGAAGGTCATTCCTCAGTAGTGGAAAATGATTAGTTTCAGACTCAGCATTTATCTGAACCTATCTAAAAGATCAAACTGTTTCTAAATAACAACATCCCGAAAAAAAACTCAAGAATATGTATAGAAATGAAAACATCCAAGACCCAATAAGATAATATTCACAATGGCTGGCATATAATAAAAAATTACCAAGAATACAAAGAAGCAAGAAAACATGGCCCATAGTGAGGAAAATAATCATTCTGAGGTGTGTAATCAAAACTGACCCAGAACTAACAGCTGTTAGAATTAGCTAACCAGGACGTGTTAAAAGTTAATTGTAACTGTATTCCATATGCTTAAAAAGTTAAGTAGAGGCATAGAAGACGCAGAAAAACCCAAATTAAAAATCTAGGAAACTAACACAGCTGTTAGAATTAGCTAACCAGGACATGTTAAAAGTTAATTGTAACTGTATTCCATATGCTTAAAAAGTTAAGTAGAGGCATAGAAGACACAGAAAAACACAAATTAAAAATCTAGGAAAATGAAAAACACAATGTTTGAGATAAAAAATACACTTGATGGAACTAAGAGAATATACATAGCAAAATAAAAGATTAGTGAGCTTCAAGAAATGGCAACAGAAAAGAAAATTAAAAGAAAAAGTGAAAAAAACAGTGAACAGTGGAACTTCAAGCAGCCTAGTATGTGAGTAAATAGAGTCCTTAAAGATCAGGTGGACAAGGGCAGAGCAGATATTTGGAGAAATTTCCCAAAATTTTATGAAAACTATAAACCTACAAATCAAAAAAGCTCAATAAATCCCCAACATAAGAAACACAGGGAAAACTACACCAAGGTTCATCAAATCTAAATTGCTGAAACCAGTAATAACAAGAAAATTTTTAAAGTGACCAGAGGAAAAAACCATATTATGTACAGGAACAAAGATAAGAGTAGCATCAGACCTCTTATCAAACAATAAAGTGAGATAACAGTGGAGCAATAGCTTTGTATTACTGAAAGAAAAACAGTCAATCTATAATTCTACACTCAGTTAAAATATCTCTTAAAGGTATAAAAAGGTGACCTCAGACCAAGTAAGTGATTATAGCAAGGTTGCAGGATACACAGTTAATATCCAAAAGTCAACTGCTTTCCTATATACCAACAATGGACAAGTGGAAATTGAAATTAAAAATGTAATATCATTTCCATTAGCAACTCCCCCAAAATGAAACACTTAGGTATAAATACAACATACAAGATCAATGTGATGAAAATTTTGATAGATGAAATCAAAGAACTAAATAAATGGAGATATTCCACAGCTATGGAAGACTCAATATTATTGCCAGGTTCTTCTTAAGTTGATTTATAGATTCAATGCAATCCCAATCAAAATCCTAGTAAGTCATTTTACAAGTACTGACAAACTGATTCTAAAGTTTATATGAATAGGCAAAAGACCCAGAATAGCCAACACAACACTGAAGAACTATGAGCCAGGAATTGGACTGACACTGCCCAACTTTAAGACTAACTATAAAGCTACAGTAATCAAGACACTATGGTATTGGGTAGAAAACACACAAATGGATCAGTGTAACAGAACAGAGAGCCCCCATAAATATACTTAATTTATCTTAGGTAAAGAAGACAACACAATGGTGCAAAATAGTCTCTTTAACAAATGGTGAAACAAATGGACATCCACATGCAAAGAAATAAATCTAAGCATAGACCTTATATCGATCACAAAAATTAACCCAAATGGATCATAGATCTAAATGTAAAATGCTACAATACTATAGCATTTATTATTATTATTATAGCATACATTAAACTATAAAACTAATAAAAGATAATAAAGACAACATAGATGATCTTGGGTATAGCGATGCCTTTTTAGTTACAACACTAAAGACACAATACATGAAAGAAATAATCTATGAGCTAGAGTTCATTAAACCTAAAAACTGCTCAACCCAATTAAAATATGGCCCAAAGACCTTAACACCTTATCAAAAATAGGAAATAATAATATGAAAAGAAGCTCCACATCATATATCAGGGAAAAACAAATTAAAGCATCATGAGCTATTACTGCAGACCTGCATAAATGACCAAAGTCCAGAACAGTGATGACACCAACTGATGGCAAGTATGTGCAGCAGGAACTCGCATTACAATGCTGGTGGGCATCAGCATAGCCACTTACAGCATAAAGCTGTCTCTTCTCACTAAGCAACTTCTGCACAGTGGAGTATACCTTCGACAAAACAGAAAGGCAACTACTGAACAGGAGAATATACAGGAAAATGATACATCTGATAGAGTTAACGTTTACAACACAAAAATAATCTCATAAAACTCAACACCAAAAAAGCAAATAACCCAGTTACACAATAGGCAGAGAACCTGAATAGATGTATTTCCAAATAAGAAACACAGATGCCAACAGATGCAT